GTTGTAAATTCTGACCTTGACGGTTTTCATTGTAAATGCAATTAGGGAGTAAAGAAACGAGTTGGGTCAGAAAAAGAAGTCGCCCAAGAGGTTCCAAACACTTGCCCCCCCCCCCCCACACTTTGTGCAGACAATTTGTACCCAGGAAATACTACAGTTTTCTTTCCAAGGGCAGGAAATACTCTTTAAGACGTGCGAGGTCGATATGTTACAAAAGTTATGTTCCGTTTTAATCAAATTGAACAATGACCAATAAACTATAAACTATAATTCTAGGCTCCATGCAAAGTATTTCATTAACTTTCCTTTACGGAACACAATGTGGACAGTCTTGAGAAGATGTGCCTGTTAGGGGTGATCGTCTGATCGTCTTCATGAGAGGACAAGCAGAGTGTACTCATAGGAATGTCAAGTTTCACAACTAACCGAGTCTTTTCCGATCTGCACATCTTGTCAAAAGAACTTCTTGTTGCCTACACTATACCGCCATGTAAAATGTCACATGGGATTTCATTTGGTTTAGGAATTGATTTTTTTTCCTCAATGCTTCTTAAAGCACGTCTAAAACCAATGTCCGAAAAAGGGCACCCCTTCCTTTTAAAAGAGCACTTGCTCAGAAAAAAGGCACTTCTTAAAAAAAAGGCAAATTACAAGATATTGGGGGGTAATTGCTGGTGAAAAGGGGCAATTGCATGGAAAAGGGCAGTCTTTACAAAATAATCAGGGGGGGGGAATATCCCCCTACACCCCCCCCCCCCCCCCCCGCCGGCTACGCCCATGGTATAGCTGTAATTGTACATATCAGAAATAAGAATTGCCACGGTTTGGACTCGAAATTCTGATAAGTGATTCGCGATAACCAGTTTTCCTTGAAGAATTCTACTTGGAATCCGTACGTTAATCTGCTCAGACATCCTGCCTCCGAGTCCCATTAGGACAAAGCTGAACACCTGTTTTATGTTTCCTAGTGGGAGAAACGGGACTTGTATGGAAAATAAAAGGCTTGCCACTTAATGCATTAAATGATTGGCGGGATGCGAGGAGTAGATCCTCAACAAAGTATTGCTAAATTCCAGACCATTAACTTTCGACACGTGGATTACGTTGCATAGAAAATATCGGGTATGGCCAATAATCAGCCACATGTTCCAACCCTTCCAAACCCCATCTTATGAATTTGCAAATATTTCCACCACGCACTTAATAATTATGAACAGTATTTTACAACCCACGTTAGGAACAGCTCAGACAACCGGACTCCATTAACTCTCAGGACAAGACGTATCTCTGGTTTATTGTTGACCGTACGGAAATACGGGGCAACAAAAAGAGTCCTAAATGCATTCAACAATTGTCCCGATGCAATAACAGGGTATACCCTTTAGCAGGGTACTAATAACAGTCCTAAAACTATTCCATCAGCTGTTGACAAAGTTTGCTGTGATGAGCGTGTCTTTAAGTAGTCATTTAAGCCTTCAGATACAATAACGGTAAATGACTGTCTGATAGATAACCTGCTTTCATCGACTAATGGAGCAATAATTGCAACAGGCTTTATCATCTGTAAGTTTGTGCTGGTAGAGAGCTATACTATATTCACTCGCACAAGCTTTTACCAATCTAATTCCCTTTTAAAAAAAAGGCTTTTGGCAAATAAGTTGTAAATTCTGACCATGACGGTTTTCATTGTAAATGCAATTAGGGAGTAAAGAAAAGAGTTTGGTCAAAAAAAGAAGTCGCCCAAGAGGTTCCAAACACTTGCCCCCCCCCCCCCCCCCCCAACTTTGTGCAGACAATTTGTAGCTAGGAAATACTACAGTTTTCTTTCCAAGCGCAAGAAATACTCTTTAAGACGTGCGAGGTCGATATGTTACCAAAGTCATGTTCCGTTTTAATCAAATTGAACAATGACCAATAAACTATGAACTATAATTTTAGGCTCCGTGCAAAGTATTTCATTAACTTTCCTTTACGGAACACAATGTGGACAGTCTTGAGAAGATGTACCGGTTAGGTGTGATCGTCTGATCGTCTTCATGAGAGGACAAGCAGAGTGTACTCATAGGAATGTGAAGTTTCACAATCACAACTAACCGAGTCTTTTCCGAATGCTTTTCAAATGCTTCTTAAAGCACGTCTAAAACCGATGTCACAAAAAAGGGCACCCCTTCTTTAAAAAAAAAGGCACTTGTTCAGAAAAAGGCACTTCTTAAAAAAAGGCAAATTACAAGATATTGGGGGGTAATTGCTGGTGAAAAAAAGGTCAATTGAATGGAAAAGGGCAGTCTTTACAAAATAATCGGGGGATAAATATCCCCCTACACCCCCCCCCCCCCCGGCTGGCTACGCCCATGGTATAGCTTTAATTGTTCATATCAGAAATAACAATTGCCACGGTTTGGACTCGAAATTCTGATAAGTGATTCTCCATAACCAGTTTTTCTTGAAGAATTCTACTTGGAATCCGTACGTTAATCTGCTCAGACATCCTGCCTCAGAGTTCCATTAGGACAAAGCTTAACACCTGTTTTATGTTTCGTAGCAGGAGAAACGGGACTTGTATGGAAAATAAAAGGCTTGCCACTTAATGAATTAAATGATTGGCGGGATGCGAGGAGTAGATCCTCAACAAAGTATTGCTAAATTCCAGACCATTAACTTTTGACACGTGGATTACGTTGCATAGAAAATATCGGGTATGGCCAATAATCAGCCACATGTTCCATGCCTTCCAAACCCCAATTTATGAATTTGCAAATATTTCCCCCACGCACTTAATAATAATGAACAGTGTTTTGCAACCCACGTTAGAAACAGCTCAGACAACCGGACTCCATTAACTCTCAGGACAAGGTGTATCTCTGGTTTTATGTTGACCGTAAGGAAATATGGGGCAACAAAAAGAGTCCTAATTGCATTCAACAATTGTCCCGGTGCAATAACAGGGTATACCCTTTAGCAGGGTACTAATAACAGTCCTAAAACTATTCCATTAGCTGTTGACAAAGTTTGCTGTGATGAGCGTGTCTTTAAGTAGTCATTAAGCCTTCAGATACAATAACGGTAAATGACTGTCTGATAAATAACCTGCTTTCATCGACTAATGGAGCAATAATTGCAACAGGCTTTATCATCTGTAAGTTTGTGCTGGTAGAGAGCTATACTACATTCACTCGCACAAGCTTTTACCAATCTAATTCCCTTTTAAAAAAAAGGCTTTTGGCAAAATAATTTGTAAATTCTGACCTTGACGGTTTTCATTGTAAATGCAATTAGGGAGTAAAGAAACGAGTTTGGTCAGAAAAAGAAGTCGCCCAAGAGGTTCCAAACACTCGCCCCCCCCCCAACTTTGTGCAGACAATTTGTACCCAGGAAATACTACAGTTTTCTTTCCAAGGGCAGGAAATACTCTTTAAGACGTGCGAGGTCGATATGTTACAAAAGTCATGTTCGTTTTAATCAAATTGAACAATGACCAATAAACTATGAACTATAATTTTAGGCTCCATGCAAAGTATTTCATTAACTTTCCTTTACGGAACACAATGTGGACAGGTCTTGAGAAGATGTGCCTGTTAGGGGTGATCGTCTGATCGTCTTCATGAGAGGACAAGCAGAGTGTACTCATAGGAATGTGAAGTTTCACAACTAACCGAGTCTTTTCCGAACTGCACATCTTGTCAAAAAGAAATTCTTATTTACTACACTATACCGCCATGTAAAATGTCACATGGTATTTCATTTGGTTTTCGAATTGATTTTTTCCTAAATGCTTCTTAAAGCACGTCTAAAACCAATGTCCGAAAAAGGGCACCCCTTCTTTTTAAAAAGCACTTGCTAAAAAAAAAGGCACTTCTTAAAAAAAAGGCAAATTACAAGATATTGGGGGGTAATTGCTGGTGAAAAAGGGCAATTGCATGGAAAAGGGCAGACTTTACAAAATAATTGGGGGAGGGGAATATCCCCCTACACCCCCCCCCCCCCCCCCGGCTGGCTACGCCCATGGTATAGCTGTAATTGTTCATATCAGAAATAAGAATTCCTGCGGTTTGGGCTCGAAATTCTGATAAGTGATTCGCGATAACCAGTTTTTCTTAAAGAATTCTACTTGGAATCCGTACGTTAATCTGCTCAGACATCCTGCCTCCGAGTTCCATTAGGACAAAGCTTAACACCTGTTTTATGTTTCCTAGCGGGAGAAACGGGACTTGTATGGAAAATAAAAGGCTTGCCACTTAATGCATTAAATGATTGGCGGGATGCGAGGAGTAGATCCTCAACAAAGTATTGCTAAATTCCAGACCATTAACTTTCGACACGTGGATTACGTTGCATAGAAAATATCGGGTATGGCCAATAATCAGCCACATGTTCCAACCCTTCCAAACCCCATCTTATGAATTTGCAAATATTTCCCCCACGCACTTAATAATAATGAACAGTGTTTTGCAACCCACGTCAGGAACAGCTAAGACAATGATATTTTTTTCTAAATGCTTCTTAAAGGGTATTCCATCTACAAGTGTCCTTTATCAAGGGGGTCAATCACTTTTGAAAAGTGGGTGGGACATTCGTTGATCGGAAGTAATGCGAAGCGCGAAGCCCTAACGGCGTGGGGTTCGGGCGCGATTAAGGGCCCCAAAAAATGTTGGAGTAGACGCTCTGTGGTGCGATCTATGGCAATTTCTGATCATTTAAACGTATTGTTGAGCAAAACATCAAAATTTAAACATCATTTTTAACGTTTGCGTAATTGAGTCAGCTATTCTGAGCTATAGAATCATGAAGGCAATATTTTTAAGAGAGGGACGAAAAAGTGTGGGGGACAAACGTTTAAAAAGTGGGGGACTTGTAAAAAGTAAAATCGTGATGTGCATGCGCAATAAGAACACCGAAATGGCCAAGGAGGTGTCACTGCATTTTAATAGGCGTTAATGGAAAGCACGTTTTATTACGTTGTCGCCCAATGATTGGCTACATTGAACCACGACTAGATCGTGTGCATTTCCCCTTATCATGGTTATAAAAGACCACGCGCTTGCACAGTTTGGTATTTCTCGTGATAGCTGCACTGTTTTATCTTGTCCTATTGAGGCGGTTGGTCGTCATTTCAAACAAACTTTAAGGTAAGAGTGGCTAAGTAAGGCCGGTTAATTTTGCCGCAATAAATAGCGTTTGTATCGATGAGTCCTGGTAACACTGTTCATTTGTTTGGTTATGTTCTTTAGCACATACGCCTTGTGTTTATAACATAGGTGTTACAACCGACAGCGGCTGGGTAACGGGTGTAGACGGTGGCTATACGGCACCGTCCGTGCACCCGGGCCGTACCGCGAATTTTTGTTGTCCCAAACGACATCCACATGGGGTGTACGCTTTGGGTTTTTTAACTTTACTTCTCTTAAAAACATGAGACAAATATTACCTATTTTTGCCTTTAAAATATCACACCATCTTGGGAAAAACTGATTTACCTGCTGTAAAGTGCATCATAATTCTGTGCCGGTGGAGATTTTATAAAGAAAAACAACCGTTAAAATAACGCCATAAGCTAGAGATTCGCGTTCGTTTGGATACAAACAGAGGGTGATCAAGTGGGCAACTATTTCATGGGATTGTGTCCAATTATTTTTTATATCAGAACAGAAAAAGGATCATTCTGTTAATGACAAAACTAATTGAAAATAGTAAAATATATCAATGCGGGTTTGGAGTTTAATACATTTCAGTATACATTTTACTTACACGTACACCTCATTTCCGATTTAATGCCATCTTCTACTATTGGGCGAATCCACGCCGGAATCGAATAGAATCGACCCCGACCTCAGAATCGGAATCGCGATTCCCCTCTTTGAGGAATCGATTCTCTGATGTAGCCGATTCCAGTTCCCCAAGCGTCGATTCCAGTTTTCGCGCGACGATTTTGAAGACCGGCCAACTCAAACGCGCCTTCAAAGAACATCCGATTCTTTAACAAAACGGCCCCTTTACAGTTTTAAAAGTATGCAGTGCGTCAAAGACAAACTGAGAGTACATCTCTCTGATGAAGCTATCCTCTTACAAAAAGCTTTAACAACTCATCGGCATATTAAATATCACAAAGTGAGCTATTTTATTTGTGTGATACAAAGGCAGCCGGCGCCGCGCCGGAACGGCATATTAAGTCGACGTGGCCGCGCCTGCCTGCTGCTACAAATTTTCTCACGAAATGATTTTCTTTCTTTGACGTAAAACTTTTCATTTGTCTCAGCAAATCAGGTTTCCTATCATCACAGCATTTTTTTACTGCCACTGGAAACGGTATGCAGCTCCCGAAAATTTGAAAAGATTGTTGTAAAATCCAGGAAGAAAAAAGTTTGTTTAGGATTATTTTGTCCTTCCCCGTCAATAACCAATACAGTCCTGCACTTACGTTGTTTGAAACAACCGGCAAGTGGCTATGAATCGCCAGCTATTTTCGAAAAACAAATCCCTGCATTAAATATGACAAATATGAACTGCAAAGTTCCACATGCATACGGGGTGAAAAATCATTCCCATTAAAGCATTTCATACCTAAAAACCGCTGTGAATAAAACACCAGCCGAGCGTAAGCGAGGGGAAAATCTGGGGCGCCCATGTACTGTATAATGTGGAGCCATCGCGTGTTTTGACAACCAAGCTGTATTTCTCATCTCGGGAATTCCCTTTGTAGATGAGCACGTGCTGAGGGCCTGTGTAAGCTGTCATTTGATTGGCAAGTTGGTCTCGTTTTCCCGGCTTTCACGACCCAACCACGTGATGTTTTATGTGCATATCGTTCCGCGAGGGCGTGGTTCGATTTTATAAATCTTGCTTGTGCAATCGCAATTCACATGCTATGAGACATAATCTTGTAAAATAGTCGGACTGATGGATCGGCAAAAGATCGGGGGAAATAAATTAAAATATTCAAAATATTCCTGTTAATTTCGTAGGTAGATGTATGTATGGATTCATTGGCAATGTCCCAACTTCTGAAGCTACATTCAAAAGTCCAAGAGCGGCAAAGTCAAGTCGAATCAACATCAAAAGTTTCCAGGGTCCGTACGCGATTGAGAACTGCGTAGTAGAAAATTGTGTTTTTATGAATGGCATGAAGTTGCTGGTACTTGGTGATCGATCGTGAATGTAGTGCTGAATCGTTCACCAGCGATCCATGCCGCGATAACGTGACCATCAAAAATGAAATCGCGCGGAGAAATTCTATGTATTCCGATATGATCATCGCGCTAAGAGTAAACAACAATATTATGTTAATATGTTTGGCGACCATTTCGATGGAAAATGCCAGTTTTTCAGGGTGATTTCCAGAATATTTTCAACTGTTTTGTTTAATAGTGCCGAACTTAATTGAGCTCTGATTTTGATCTTGCGTGGTTTCCGCAGGGGAAACAAAACTTGTTGTCGACAGTCGAACATTTATTTTATTGTGTTTCCTGCCCAAAACGTGACTTTCGTTTTATAATTAAATGACTATAAGAAAGCCATTACACCCACAGTGACCTCATTATTTGCGTTTTTATTGTAATGTGTTTGTTTGTTTTGTTGGGTTTTCTGATTTTTTATATTTTTTTGTGGAATTTTTTTTTGATAATATTTTACAAATATTATGGCATCGATTCCGAATGGAATCGCGATTCCCAAACGGAATCGGAATCGATCAAAAACTGCTGGATTCGCCCACGTTATAATTTCAGAGAGGACGCATATTCATCATAAAATTAAAAGAATGAAGTTTAATCGTACGTAGATAACACCATGTGCGGCGGAAGGGGGGGGGTCAGGGGCAGATATTCCGAGGCCAACACAAAGGCCCCTCTGGCGGTCATGAAACAAAACTGCCCCTCAAACGCACACGAGAACGGATTATGATCGCGCTTAAAATTGTCTCCTCTTTTGTAATGCAAAAGTGCCCCCCAGAAACACACAAACCCTCGCGTATTAGCAAGATTGTGAACCTTCTCGAGATAAAAAAAAAACTATCCCTATAGTACAAACAGCCCTCTCGCAATAATAAAATTTTGCCCTTCTCGAGATGGAAAATGGTCCCTTTGCATAGACCTTATTAGTCCAATTCAAGGGCGGACCCAGAGGGGTTACTGCCGGGGGTGTGCCGGAGACGTTAGGTCCAAGGGTTTTCTCAAGTGAAAAATTAAGAAATGACCGAAAGAAAAACTGATTACTTTCAAATTCTCCATTCAACATGCATGAATTCTGATAATTCAAAATCAAATTGAGGGTTGGGGTAGAAGAGGAGGTTCAAAGACTCCCGCAAATCCAGCCTCAAATCACTGAACATCAATGTAGGGAACTGGGAAGCCCTTGCCCTCGACTGTCTAACCCGGCGCAGCATGCTTACCAAGGGAGCGCTTGCAGCTGGAACCAACCGCAGTGCAGCAGCAGAGCAGAAGCGGGCCATGTGGAAGGCTAGACCGTCAACCCTAACCAACACACTACCAGCCCACGTGTCCCACATGATTATGTGGGAGGACTTTCCGGGATCGGATTGGCTGATTAGCCACCTCCAGACCCATCGTTGTCTTCCCTAAACCACGAAGCCATGGCCATTTACGACTACTTAGAACGAGTATCATACATCATTACATGACAGCATTTCAAACTGTCCACCTACACATTTCAGCATGGCTGTAAATTCTAATTGGTTCGTAATGGTAATTCCATGGCTATGTCCTAGCAGAGTTTTTAAGAGCTCAGTGAATAAATCTGAAAATGTATTTTTCTAATCTTCTACATCCATTATCTAACTTTCAAGGAGACAAGCTGGACGTTTTGGGTCATTTCTCTATATCGTTAAATTAGATATCATATTTGGCTCTGTTACGGGACATGACACTGCCTTTCCTAACGCTGGAATTACGCTTATGGAACTTTATGTCATGGTCACTGATCACTCAGAGCAATGGCAATCGCTCAGTGAGCCTGTTCAACATAAGCTTTGGAGTGCTCGCGGAACGGTCCAAGCGGTTGTGCGAGAAGTTTCGCGACAATTCGAGCTTTCTCGTGATTTCGACCACGCTGTTCATGTTTGCAATGTGTATTATATTCCTTGTTTTGATAATCTGCTTCTAGATTTGTTGCAAACCTCTCTCTCCCGAGCGTCATGGAAGCGCCATTGCTTCTTGCTGTCATCTTGGGCTGTCTCTTGACAATTGGTAAGTAAATGTTTCAACGAAGAAATTTGGCAGCGAACGTAACATTACAAATACAGTTTGTAATACCAGCTTTCCCCTTCTTCCGACCACATGGTAAAGTTTTATGTTTTGTTGTGATTAGTAAGAGCCATTCAATCAACTAGAAAAATGAAATGAGGAAAGTTGCCTGTGAGAGTTAGTCAGTGAGACGTGCACGAGGATAAACAAATGCAGAACTAAGTGTCTTTACTTACAGGTCCATCTTTGCACTCCTATGTTAATATCTTGTTCTACGGGTTTTTTTTTTCCTTTGCAGTTAGCAACCCTGCTGAAGCTTATACCTATCGTAAGTAAGAAACTTATCAAGTATAATTATGTTTGGTTAGTGAGGCATGGTTATGTTTGGCTTTTTTTTTTCTTCATCTTACTTTACAGCCCTATGTTGTGAAGGCCGATATCTAACGGTAACATAATACTCTATTTTGAATGAAACAACATGCACACAGACATGTTGATGTTCGCCAGCGAAATCTTTGAAAATTAATTTCTCCCGTTTGGAAGACCGTATTGTCATGCAACTTTCAGGGTTCGTTTCCTAGATCCAACTCTAAAATACAACTCGTTTTGATATGTTTAATATTTTTCGTTGAAATATAAAATTAGGCTTGGGCACATCCACTTTTCAAAGCTTCATGGTGTTTGCAATATCTATCAATCTTTTCATGTCTCGTGAATATTAATAAGATTCCTATCCATTAAGGTATGCAGTAAAAAATTGCAGTATCGTCTCCTACACGATTTATTAATTAATAAACATGACCCTTTTTGCCGGCTTCCATTGGTCGATACCGACACCGACAAAAAGTCACAGAGAATCACGCTAATGAATATGCTAATATATGCACTTCGTCGTTGTTTCCTCAAAATCGGCCAACCTGAAAACCATACACGTAACATCGGTTGGCCAAAAAAATCAGCATCGAAATGTCCTTGGAGATTGTCAAGGTGTAGTCAAGGTGTAACAACAGATTCAGTTTGCAACAACATATTAATAATAATCGGCATTTAAGAACGCCCTTTTAGTAAACTAAATCACGGCACTTACAGTATTATTATTACCCCTGATCATTGGGCCAATAAAACATTCCAAATACCATCTCAGATCCCTGGGAAGTATACAGCTCGCTGCCGCCTATTTGGCGCAATCAAGCTAAATCAATTACATAGCCATCTCTGCCCTCACTGGTACCCATTTACTCCTGGGTGGAGAGAAACAATGAGTGACAAAGTGCCTTGCCCAAGGGCACACGCACCATGACCCCGCCAGGACTCGAACCCACAACCTGCAGCTTGACTCGCAGACCGCGAATCAGCCACAGCACTCCACATTAAGTTAAAACTCGGTATTTACTTAGATGATATAAGTGTCCAACTATTCGTTGACTACTCCATTTATCTAGAAATTGAGATAAATTGATAGAATTGGGGACCTTTTCGAACGATTTATTCCACGACTTTTATGTCAGCTTGAACATTGACCATGAATGACGTTTCGGCATCAATAACGGCGATTTTTTTCACTGACATGAAATTAAGAATTTCTTCTTCTGTTATTATTTAACATTGCAATCATACTGAACATATTTTCTGAAAGAAAAAATCACATTCAAAAAGCCATGATTTTTGGGCTGCATGAATTTCACCGCTCTGATGGTAGCAGATTGATTTTGTTTAACAACGGTGACGCTTAGGCCTTTGCAACCACAAGGCTGTTTAGTTTTAGTGGGGTCATTTTAAATGTCGAATTTCATTTACTATCACCATGTATCCCGTTGAGATCCGCTGTATAATTGTTATGTCGCAAATGATATCCTTATCTTGTCTTTAACATTTCAGTGTAACCTAATTTCAACATTTCAGTAATTGAACGCTATGACACTGAATCGGCAGATCATTTCTTAATTCAAGTCAATTTTTATGTTGAGTTTGACCAGCCCCACCAGCGTACGTCTGCTCACTGCAGTTTATCTAATGCCCTCATGCAATGACGTAAACCAGACAACTCTTCAGACCTGAGCGTTTTTAATTGTTTCCCTCGAATAAAAGAGCTAGTTATTGCCTACACGCCTGCCTCAATTTCATATCGCCTAGGATAAGGTGTTGCTAAGCTTTGGCAGAAACTTTTTTCACGTTAACCTCTACAAAAAAAATGGGGAAAAAATACACTTAACCGATTTTAATAACACCTTTTGTTTTGAAATATTTGTTAAAACAAAGAAAACGAAGAGAGTACCCGGAAAGCTTGGTGGCCGGTATATTTTCTTTCACAGCTCTTCAATGTGTGATTGATGTTATTGTATTCTGTGCAGAGCCCTGCAACAATGGCTGGAAACACTTCAAGGGCAATTGTTACCTGTTCCAGTATAATCTTCATCTTTGGGGTGGCGACGCTTCTTTTGATGCACATCAGAAACGTTGCAAAAGCAAAGGCGGCAACTTAGCCAGCATTCACGATTATGACGAGAATAATTACATCGGGCGTAAGTATCAGTGTGCGACTGTGGTTGAATGTCTAATCCATTTAATGACGTCATCTTACAGACTCGGTCAATCAATATCAGCGATAAATTTTCAGAAAAAAGATCAGCAGAAGCGCTGCATATGGAAATGGCCAGTTGAAACGTAACTTTCTTTCTTATTGAAATAGAAGCCTTCTCTTATCAATATTACTCATTGAAAAACAAGACAAACGTTTGGCGCAAGCAATATACATCAGGAGCTCCTGGAGTTGTTTATTCTTTACTGCCAGTTTTCTGGCATTTGTTTTGGTACCATCCCATATAGAAAGCATACGTAATTTTAAAGCAGCGTGCTGGATCGGCTTCGAAGACAAAGATGGCAGCAAGGCCTTCCAGTGGTTGGATGGATCAGTAAGTAATGATGGGGTACTGTGGAGCCCTCAATGTTGAAATCATTTAATACTCTAGTTTAAAAAAATGGTTATATTGGTTTGGTCGGTCAAAAGGGACTAACATTATACATTACACTGGAACGGTACAGTAATCGCACATTAACCTGGACAATTGAATCACTACGGGGATTTAACTCGACGAATTAACGATACGAGACCAGGATCTAAGAATAAGATCCAGTTGCGGACTACTTTTTCAGAAAAGGATTTTGAAATGAAACAAATTCGAGATCAAAGCTTGACAAAAACCTTGAAAAACAAAAACCAAACCTTAAACTAAAATTAAAAACCTTTTTAAAAACCAACAAAAATTTCAAACTATGTAGAACCGAGGTAAAAACCAACAAAAGTTAAAACTTAGAAAACAACAAAAGTTAAAACTTTGTAAAATCGAGGTTTACCTAAAACCAACACAGAGCGTCAAAATAATTGATCTGAAGGGTACAGTCCATCATTTGTAATTTGTGCATTTTGTTCGTTTGAACCAACAAAAGCGCGCAAAATCTAAAGAAGGGTGCTGAACAACTAACCTGATAAAGTTTCAGCTCATAGAATGTTGTGTACTTCAAGAAAAACAATATTCTAGGACCTCGATTTCAAATCAAAAGTTGCCGAGTCATGTTTTGAATAGGGCTCGAATTCAGCGTTCTCATTCAGCCAATCGCAGCTACGTGATGTCGCACACTGAACCGACGAATCTTAGCAACCCAGCGCGCGTATGCGTCATTTCAACGCTTGTGCACGCTTCGCCGAATTATAAACGAACTTCTTATAGAAGTTCCAACGATGCTTCTTAAGACGCATCGTTGGGGGTGCCTTCTTACCTCCAGTTCTTCAAATGACAGCTTGCCAGAAAGAATAATGTCACAGGAGTTTAGTGCCATTACTATCTATAAACGAAGTATGCTTTTCAACAATAATTTCGCCAGTTACTTTTTGGACTGAAACCTAAGAATCAAGAAAAGACAAAAAAGAAAGAGTACAATTTAGAAATATATCAAAAGAAGGTGTTCAAAACGAACATCAAAGAAAGTTACATTGGTTATATAGTACAGTCTAACTCTATGTACATCATGTTACACAAGATCACTAAACCCAACATATGCAATGGCAACACAAGTTTCTTACTGAATATCTAATGAGTACAAATCCATGGCCATATCGGTTCCACATAAATTGCAGTTAGACTTTACCCAGTCTAAGACAGTCAAACTAAGCCTCAGGGTTGTAAACAAGTGGTGAAAGTGGAGATAAACATAATAGAAAATGCAGTGAAGGAAGTGGGACTGAGATAAGTCTAATATAATATAAACATCTTGTGATCTTCTGAGAAGGATGCACTTGGGAGTAGATCTGTGGGAAAGTCAAACTTCCTAATGGTAGACACAATCAAAAATTCATTCAATCTACATGTTCTAGGGGTAAATATTGTCCTCAACAAAAATCAATTCTCTAAGCGGATCATGTCATCTTTAAAAGAGGAACCAAAATTGATTAATTTGATAAATATTGATAAATGTAAACTCATAAATTCATTCTTCCAACCTTAATACAAGTCTAAGAAAACTTAATTCGTATAAAATAGTACTCGGTCCTGACTTCAAATATCAAAAAGGTAAGGAAAAAATCATAATTGTACAAAATCTTAATCACTGACCCCATCATGGTTAAGTCAAATATCAATACAAAAAAATGTAATAAAACCCAGAATATGACTATACAATAATTAAATAGCATTCATAATAAAACTCACCAATGACTGCAGCAGTAACGCACCTATCAACTGTTTCCCCCGCCCCTCACCCCACGCTGCCCTATCCAAGACGTGGGGATTGTCACTTTTGAAGTCACAAAATCCCCACCCCTCGGCCAAAATTCAAGTGACTATGATCCCCGACATACATACGTGGGGCGCACTAGTGATTGCTTTTACAAACTTATAAGCGGAGGCTAAAAATGTGTAGTAAAAGCAGAATGCTATTTGTTCATACATGCAACGCAACGTGCTCACGTTACCCTATACAAAGTTTTCCATATGCTGGAAATGACAAAATGGCAGAAGAATTGCAGAATGTTTTTATAGAATGTTGTAAGACCACCGATAAAGGTTTACTTTCTTGATGTGTTTAAAGAACATATGTTGCAACATAAATTGCAAAGTTTAAAGACTACTGTTTCTTTTTTTTAGCGGGCAGAATACACGAATTGGGGTTATGGCCATGTTACCGTCACTGGTCGCAGGGCCTGCACTACCATGCAGGCTACGGATCTTTACTGGCGTATTGATTATACATGTGATCAACGCGCAGTCTGCAGTGTATGCAAAAAACCATCAACCAGTAAGTCATAATACCTTCTTTCTCAAATCACATAACGTTCACATGACTCTTTTATCACAAACAAATTTAAATACGCCAGTGTAATTTTCACATGCCAGTTTCATTTGGTTAACTATTAACCTTCAATTGATTTTACAAAGCTAACCCCCAGAAAAATTAATCTTTTTTTTTTAACCGCAGAACTGCCATGTGCAGCCAGCCGCTGTCTGAATGGTGGAAACTGCGTGGAACCAAAATGGAATGGTGGAAAGGAGCCATCCGATTTCACTTGCGCGTGCCGAAAAGGTTACAGTGGCAAGAACTGTGAGTTAGGTAATGACAATCATTACACTATTTTTTTTCCTTGTGAACGCATGAGTTTGGTAAGTTTTAGCAAATGTGTCTCAAATACCAGACTTCCACCGACTCGGAAGTAAAAGCCACACGGCGATGACAAGTTTATAAGGTAGGCTGGGTTCAGTATGTGAAATGACACGAAACACTCGGGTAACGAACCACAATGTTGCCCCCTGGCTTTTGCAGTGATAGGCATATTGGAGATATGTCTACTAATAATCACTACTGGCTAATTAGTGAGATGATGAGTTAATTTTGACAAAAAACACCACATGTCCAGGAAGCTTGACTAACCGATTATAAGGGAGCGATGGCCATAAAATGTGTAATCTTGGAACAGTTCAGGAGAGGTTACGGCAGCCATTGTCTCACGTCGAAATGTTTTTGAGGCAGGAAGTTGCAGGTTTTGACGAAGCTGAATATTTTAAAGATATACTGTCATATTGCAACTCAAATTCTGGGTATGTCTTGTTCATAATTACCGCCAAATTCGAAAAGTTGATCAGATTTGAATGCTGCCAAATTTCGCTGCACCTGTTTCATTCATATAATCACATCCGTTCTCAATTGATTTCTCGCAGATAATTGAGAGGACACTTATATTCCTCAAAGCTCTCTTTTTATTGTTTTTCTTCAGATGTTGACGAGTGCAAAACGGCATCGTGTGCCTCCGGCAAATGTGTAGATGGTCGTGGCTCCTACGAATGCGTGTAAATCAATTCTACCCGGCTTGATATTCAGTTCATCCACTAAACATATTGCGGTATCGGTATTTGTTTTTGTGTTTTGTTCGAAGAAAAGGCAGTGTCTCAACTTTAGTGACTTAATTAAGCCACAAAGTAAGGACGCATTTAGAATAAACTCCATCAGTATATCACCCGTACCCTAAATGGTACATATTCTAACATTCAAAACTTGACTATAAAATGGCCTAATTCACTGAGGGTAAATATAGGTTCAAGCATTCTGTGAACTTCGTTGGTATGCTGTCATTAAGAGGAATTACCATAATATTGGTTTGGAACAAATACTACATTTAGAGAATTCTTGCACTACCCAGCCGGCTGGTTGCGAAGCCTTAAGCGTCGACGTTGTGAAACGAAATTAAACCGATTACGTACTTGGACACTATAACAGAGCAATGCAATTTGTGCACCCCCCTCCAAAAAAAAATGTCTTTTGAACGTTGTGGTTCTCAGAAAGCAGCCTATGCTCCGTGTCATTGAAATGTTAAATTAATAACGAGTAGAAATTCTAAACTTCATGTCAGCGAAAAAAAATTACCGTCCTCGATGCTGAAACGTCAATACTAGTTACTGGTAAAGCTGACCTTCAAGTCGTTAAATTAAGGTAAGGTAAATTTCGACGAAATGTTGCGGTTTTTTTTTCAACCATATTTACTCACTTGCATAGTTTTCAGGTTGGCTAATTTGGGCGCAACATAATAAGCATATTCATAAGCGTGCGCGTGGATCTCCGTGTCGTCTTTGTATTCTCTATTGTTTCGGCCAATAGAAGCCGGCAAAAAGGATGATATTTATTAATTAACTTGTAAAGGAGGCTATTCTGCAAAATTTTACTGCACACCATAATGGATAGGAAGTGTATTAATATATTTGTGTGACTTGAAAAGATTGACAGATATTACAAACACCAGTGTTACAACTTATTAAAATGTACGTAGCTAGGCCTATTTTTCCAATTTCAACGAAAAGTACTAGACATATCAAAACGATTTTTAGCACAAAGTTGGATCGTTGATAAGGAAACAAACTCTGAAATTTGCATGACGATAACGGTGTTCCAAAGGGGGAGAAATTGATTTCCAAAGATTTCGCCCACCAGTGTGAACATTTCTGAGTGCATGTTGTTTCATTCAAAATAAAGTATTTTGTAACCATTAGAAATCAGCCTTCGCAACCAGACGGATGAACCTGTGAAATCACAATCAAATGGGTTTTATTACAAGAGAAATTAGGTAAGCTGCATTTTGATTTTGAAATCGAAAAGCATGTTTGCTTGTTTATATTTTCTGGCATTTAACTGTTCAGTGGAACGATGTCTGCTGATTGGAGCTGATTTAAACATTTCTTTGTTTAGTTGGATGAAAAATCGGAGCGAGAAAGAGAAAACAGAAAGGCATTGTGATTGCACCCAAGCATTCTCTGCTATCTTTTAAGTTAAATTTATTTGATGGTTCATGGTTTTGATTTAGATAAATCTGAAACTGATTCGAATACATTTTAGAAGGTTTAATAGTAGTTATATTCTTGGTGTCGTAATATTGTTGAACTTTTCAATTGTATTTATTTACTCACATTGCACGATTTGTTTTCCACACAAAAGGAATCAGAAAATCAATAATAGTCTAATTAAAATACGGAAGTTGAGTGCCCGTGCGCAGTCGTGATATATTTTCCATAAATAGAAAATGTTTCAAAATATACAGGATGGTCCAAAATAAAGGACATCTATTTTTTACAGCAATTTTCACCTTCTTAGTTAACATATTTCTATTGCTTCTCTATAGTAGCAAAGTAGTAGCCCCTATAGCCCATGCGTGGTAAGAAAGCTTAGTAAAAGTCGCACGAATAGTGATATCATGCTGATAAGAATACAAGTCATGCATATGACACGTGTATACATTGAAGCAGTATACCCATAAAGCCCACGTTGGCTTCAACATGAACTGGAGGACAATGGGTATGGGACATTCCATACAAACATATTTTGTCATTCCGTAACGTGTTTATGAACAAGCGTGATAACTATGACTAAATGCAATAAAGTTTCATTCCTATAAAATGCACAATTTCCGGTGTCAGAATTGTGTTCAAAAAAGTGGAACTCTCTTGAAATTTAATTTTTCTTTGGTTCCCTACTCATTCTATTGCGGTCATGAGAAGCGTGCTTAAGATGACGGAGGTGATCCAACTCTGAGGGCAAGGTTCAACGGAATAATGCAGAGGGAACCGTGCACATCATTTACATTTTTAACAGGTCGCGTAGCCACAAAATCGAACGTCCTCACACTTACTATCACCAGCGTGCACCTAATATTCGCTTTCAACATATTTCTTTTGTTTTCAGACCTAATGATCTTAAAATAATGGTCTTAAAATAATGTGTCAAATTAATGCTTAGACTTTGTTTTATTCACAGCAAACTGTTACTCCGTGCCTTATGAATATTACATCTTAAAAGATGTAAGGTCTTAACCTTAAGGCATCACTGTCGTCAACGTTTACAAACCGCCTCCCGACGAGGAGAATCTTTCCCCTCCCATTGCCCTCCTTGCATGTATGCCGGAGATTTCAACTGTCATAGCACAACATGGGGATACCGCTCAACCAATCAAGATGGTACTACCCTGGAAGACTGGGCCTCAGCCACTGGCATCTACCTCCTCTATGACTCTAAGCAGCCTGGCAGCTTTCACTCTGGCCGTTGGAACACCACCTCCAACCCGGATCTGGCTTTTGTTTACCTGAACGGTCCTCTTCCTCACCGTACCATCCTCGATCAGTTTCCAAGATCACAACACAGACCATACTTGATCATCCATGACAACCCCATCGAACCGGTTCCAACCAAACCCGTTAAAAGGTGGAACTTTCGCAAGGCCAGATGGGACCATTTCACAAGCCTTGTGGATGCTGGGGTTGACAACATACCCTACCCCACCCCCAACAACCTAGATACAGCCTACTCAGCCCTCCGCAGTCTTCTCATTGAGGCAGCGAAGAAGGCTATTCCTCGTGGACACCGTCGCAGATACATCCCTGCATGGGATGAAGAGTGTGATCGATGCATGCTACGACGCCTTTCTGCAAGCTGAACCAGGCGAGGATGCAACTACGAAGGCTACAGACCTGACAAACTGCCTTGACAAAAAGCGCAGAGATCGCTGGGAAGAGACAGTCCAGGGAATCGACTTCGCACACTCCAGTAGAATAGCCTGGAAAACCTTCAACCGTCTAACTGGCAGAAGTACTCGCCCCAAGCACTGTACTGTCACTGCTAACTCCATCGCTCAGCAACTCCTCGCCAATGGACTCTTCAAAGATGCAGACAAGAATCACGCCCGCACTGAGGAGACCACAAACCTGTGGAAGGCACCAGGCGTTGACGGGCATATGTCATCTCCATTCTCCCTCGCAGAACTCTCTGCTGCCATTTCCCAACTGAAATGCGGGAAAGCTCAAGGTCCTGATAACATCCCTCCAGAATTCCTGAAGCACTGTGGTCCCAGATGTCTAGCTTGGCTCCAAGAATTCTACTCCTCCTGTCTTGCCGGCCAGTCTATACCCAAGATTTGTCGGAAAGCCACTGTCATCGCATTGCTGAAACCAAACAAGGCTGCTGATGACCCCAAGAGCTATCGTCCGATTTCACTTCTTTGTGTCCCGTACAAGCTTCTTGAACGGCTTCTTCTGGCTCGGCTTGACCCAATCATCGACCCCAACTGCCTGATGAACAAGCTGGCTTCCGACATGGACGCTCCACAGTACAGCAAATTGTTAAGCTGACCAACGACATCGAGGACAGCTTTGAAGCACGCAACAAGGCAGGTGTCGTACTAGTGGACATTCACCGCTGCCGACGACACAGTGTGGCACCATGGCCTGGTCCTGAAACTTCTACGCTCCATTCCCGATCGGCACTTTGTGCGGTTCCTCGCCAACATTATTTCCAACCGCAGTTTTGTCCTCAAGACCAGTGTTGGACAGACAAGCCGACCACGTCGTCTGAGGAATGGAGTATCCCAAGGCTCAGTACTGTCCCCCACCCTCTTCAACATCTACATAAGCGACCTACCGAACACCACAGCGAGGAAGTATAGCTATACTGACGACTTGGCCCTCCTGTACACAGATAGAAACTGTACAAACGTGGAGAAGGTGCTCTCAGCTGACATGGAATGCATCGCAGACTACCTGATGACAAAGAGACTAAAGTTGAGCGTCGCAAGAACTACTTCATCTGCCTTACACCTAAACACCAAGGAAGCCCAACGTCAGCTGACTGTCACCCTAAACGGGTCTCCCCTGCCCTACAATCCAGATCCCACCTACCTTGGGGTAAGACTAGACCAGCAACTCACGTACAGGAAACATCTGGAAGCCCTCCGTTCTAAGGTTTCAGGGCGTAACAACCTCCTGCGTCGGCTGGCTGGATCATCATGGGGTGCCAGGACATCCACCCTTCGAACTGGTGCTCTTGCCTTCGTTTACAGCGCTGCCGAGTACGCTGCCCCAGTATGGTGCCGCAGTGCCCATGCCACTGCTTGATGTGGCCCTCAACGAAACCATGCGTATCATCACTGACTGCCTACGCCCTACTCCAATAGACCTCCTGCCTGTTCTTGCAGGTATCGCACCTGCAAAGCTTCGCAGAGAGAGCCTCACCGACAGGCTTGCTTCCAAGGCCGAGGCAAACTCCGATCACCCTCTGCATCAGCTGATCCAAGATGCACAACAGCTTGGTCGTCAACGCCTGCCCTCTCGTCGCCCCTTCTCCCGTCATGCTGCAGCCCTCTGCAACTCCAACTTCACTTTGCGTAGTGCGTGGGAGGCTGACTGGGAGCAGACTGCCCGACCTGATCAATTTACTGTGACCCCCGACACCACAACCCCACCCGGCTCAGACCTTCCTCGAAAGGAATGGGTCACCCTGAACCGCTTGCGTACAGGAGTCGGCCGGTTCAATGCCAGCATGTTTCGTTTGGGGCCTACGTCCATCAGCAGCCTGCGTGTGTGGAGCATCACAGCAGACAGCACAGCACATCATCAACGAATGCGCTGCACTTGGCCCCCCAGCTGACACGGTGGACCTCGCCATTGTCAGCGAACAAACAAGAACATGGCTTAGACAACTGGACGGAATAGCCTGACCTTCTGCTGCCTCAAACGAAAGAAGACGGTAATAAAGGAGTGTCAACCTAAAGAGAAGAGTCCCGTGTTTGATTTAGAGGTGCCCCGTCTCCCTTCCCCTGCCATGTGTGCTGGCGCGAGTGCTGCAGGCGTAACACCCGCCCGCGAATAAAGTTGTTCCCCTGCTGCGCTTGGCGGTAGACTGCCCCAACACGGGCCTGCTCCCTTGGCCTTCTCAGAATTGACTGCTCGCTGACGTCGGCCGAGGACGACTCTGGGTTGCTGTCGGCACGACCGCCACAATACTGTCAAAATTCCGATACTGTCCATAATAGTCCGATTTGAACAGCAGTGAAAATATCACCTGTAGGTCAATCTAGGTCATTGTTTAAGGAAGCTTGGCAGCCTCCCGGGCGTCTGAGCAGAGTCTGTCAGGATCTGCACTGCTCACTTCATGGAACCTGCAGCGACGCAGGCAGGCCCGATTTCATTCAACACGTCGCAAAATACGATACAACGCAACTTTACGGAGTTCCTCGTGTCGACTATCCCGCTGCGTCGCATCGCTGGGTCCTGCGAACCATTTCATGAAACTCGTCGTAAGTGCAATTCGTCATAAGCACAAAAGTACGGTGCGGAGACTGTTTTGGAGAGGTCGGGCACTCATTCGAGTCGCTACGATTAATCTTTCTATCTTTCATTTTTTTTCCGTACAGCACGTTTCCGCGGGTTTTCTTCTATCTTTTATTTTTTTTCCGTACAGCACGTTTCCGCGGGTTTTCTCCTAAACTTCAATATTTATCGACCCTCATCCTAAGTGGTGCATATTACTCTGACGTCATTATTACGTCATCGGGTGTCAAATTACAAGCAACTTTCCTTAAAACAATGACGATATTCGTTCATCTATCACTCGTGAACAAAATGCTCAATTATATTGGAACTTTGTAATCAGATAGACCATTAGTTGATAAACATTTTTGTAGTGTACGTGAACTCGCTTGACCTTTACTTCTGGTTCTATCCGGAAGGTCAAAGTTAGGTGAATTCAAAATGAAGACATTAGCCTGAAATCGAAACAAAGCACAATTTCTTCCAAATGGTTTACGGTATCAACATAAAACCTAGTTTGAACTTGTACCATGTTATGAAGATGTTATAAATGTTGTTACGTCATCATGACGTCATCAGGTATCAAATTACAAGCGATTTGATGGCATGTTTTGACAAAATAGTTTGACCTATATCTTTGGAACTAAATAGAGTATCATGTTTGTTATCTCTTATTCCCGGGCACAAAACTGCTTGACCTTTACTTCCTGTGTTACCCGGAATTGCAGTAGAAATTGAATCTAAAACGGAAGCAATCTACTACAGACAAATACATTATGCAAGTGTTAAGCGAGGAATGCCAATCACAAAAACATAATTTTGACGTCATCTCACGAATCCACCATTTGATCCCTATCACATGACATTGATTTTTGCCCCCCAAAAATGCATCTGTTACACTTAATATTGACCCTTTGCTTCCAAATACGGTGATTTCATCAAACCGGAAGTTGGCTGTTATTATTAAAGACACTTAGTTTCCGTATTTCCATGCGTTATTTTTACTAAATGATAAACAAACTTAGTGTCCTCCCTTCCCTTTTTTTTGACTGATGACGTCATTAAACCGAATATAACTTGAAAGTGTACCCAAATGTTTACTGGAATTGATAATACCCTGAGATACGCATTTTTTTGTACAAAATAATTGGTTTTGGAAAGGTTAAAGTTCGTGATCCTTTTTTTCTGACATGAACATATTCACAACTGAACTGGACAATGTCTAATAATAAAGTCGTCTACCAGACCACTCTGTGTTTGTAACAACAAATGCGAACCTCTAGTGTAAATTTATTTTTGTGCACATTTAACAGTCGACTGATATTCCGTAAAGACTCATCTGATCTTCTCTCAAAACGTGTTTTAAACA